ACAATCAGAAGCAAAACGAGCGGATTTGTTGTAGGCGAATCACGAATTTCAACGACAATCGGAAATAAGGGGCATGAAAGACAAATACTATCAATAAAAACTTTTTTTTTTAAAAAAAAAAGAAAGAAAAACTGGAGAAACGGCAATGATTGTCTTGGTAGTTGGTTCTAGAGGGAGTTTCCCTCCAAAACAAAGAAACCCAAGCGCACCTTGGAGGTCTGGGTAAACTCTAGGGGTACCTTCCATTTCCATTCTTTCCAGGGATCCGAATCTTTTCAGGAAACCATCAAAAACCCAGGGGAAACGGATCCGGTTTTTGAAAAGAACGATGGTTGAAAAGAATGGGGAATCAACCCCGAGATAAACGAGTTTCATCTGCTTGTTTCACCCATCGGTGTCGCAAACATTGTCCAAAGCTGACTGCTTTCAGGCCGCCACTGTTTGATTGCTCCCTACATAAACTGGGTGACTTTCTTCTGGCTGCGCATTACAACAACCCCAAACTCGGGTGCCCTGAACCGCTTTCCATGCAACCACCCCTATGGAGAAAGTCATTGTGGGCTAGGGCCGAAATGGCTACCAGTAGAACGCAGTAGAACTGGGTTGTGGGGCAAATGGGTGTCTTTTGTAGGGAACCCCCAAATGGATTTTGGTTTCCTCTTGGATTCCCTTCAAGCCACACCCAAAAAGGGTAGCATCACAAAAAGACAAGCCACCCAAATGGCCAAACTTCCTCATGGCTCCCATCCACGACGGATACTTCTCCATATGGGTATGGCTCCAAATGAAACCGGATATCAACCTCAGATTTGCGTCCATGGTTCCATTTACCAGGGCCTGCCTGGTTTCTTTCTTTTCTGTTCTTTTCTTTTTTTTTGGGGGGGGGGGTACCTATACATGTTTTTTGACCCACAGCCCTACAGCCCTGCTTCCCTCGCCTGGCGGGGAAAAAAGAAAAAAAAAACAATCGAATCACTAAGCCTAGCGGATTCCGCGCCTCGCGGCGTTCGAAGGCCTTGAGCAAGATAAAGGCCAAGCGCAGCAAGGCGCAGAACCTGCGAATCGATGGCCAGCCTCCATTTGCTTTTTCACCCAGAAATAACAATTTGGCCTTTCTTTTTTGCTACCCTTTGGGTCGGCAAGCTGGAAGCCAAAAGGAAACCTTCCATGTGCGTTTTCGCCCCCTGGAAAAAACGAGGAACTATGTTGAGTAGTAGTGCATTCCCTTTAAAAACAAAAAGGGAAAACATCACACACATTCATTTCCATCAAATGGAAGCAAGCATCCCCCCGACCGATAGAGGGGTATGGGGGGTGGGTCCTCAGTCCGGGACCCGTTGGTCCATTTGTCAAGTTTTCCCCAAAGGGAAAAATGGGTCACCATAAATGGACTAGCTCCTCCAGTAGCGAGGATAGAATAAGGGTACCCTTTTCTGTAGTCTATTTAGCAAAAAAAGGTAAAAGGGCACTACTGGGTCACCATAAATGGATATCTCCAGGGTCGAAATCATTTTAAGGGGGTGTAGATCCGGGAGCGTATCAAACATCCACTACGGGTCGTCACACATTCTTGTATGGCCACCGGCAATTGAAACACAACTTGCAAACATGTGCAACGGCCAGGGAGGCTCATAAGAGGAGGTTATCTATGTCATCCCTCTTACAAAACAATGTTAGGCAATCCGTTTTGACGGCAGGTACGATCCATGTTACATCATTCAGTGTTCACTCAGCCATTGTGCTCATGCCGATAGACCATCCACCCTGCGAGGGAAACCGGTGCTGAGCAACTTATGTCGTACAGGTTGCTTTTTTCAGATCTTCGTGCCAGTTTGTGCCGCCGAAAACGGATTCAAAAAGGAGTCACTAGTATCTTGAGTCGAGCACAGGTTTGAAAGCTCAGAAAGTTTGCCAGACAAAACTTACCCTCTTTCCAAAAATGTTAAGAACACTTTGCCAAACAAATACCCTCTTTCCAAGGGAAGTCTTGACATTTTGGGGCTTCAAAAGGAAAGCTTTCCGATCGTTTTTACAGCCACGGCGCGAGTCCAACTCACCCCCGTAGCTTTCTAGCTGCTGGATGCGCTCCAGCCAGTCCTCATCCGCCTGAGACGCTGAATCCGACACTTGAGACGGCAAGTTGAGATGAACCAGCACCCGGGTCCCAACTTCCCTGCCTTTTCCCATGTCCCAAATCGTATAAGTACTGGACAAAAAGCAAATAAACAAACTCGCTCGCTTTTGGTTGCTTTTCTCGGTGTGCAGTAGGTTTTGTCCATCCACAGCACCTCCACGAGGTAAACTGGCCCTTGCCATACAAGTTTCCAATCAAGTAGCTTGAAAAGGACACTGCTGCGATCCATGTCAACAGACAATGACAAAGGCTCCGTCGGCGCCATCCAACTTGTGATGGAACCCTCCAAATTGTGTTGTGTCCTTGCATCACGCCAAACATTGCGCTTTCCATTTAAAATGTCCTTGGTTGAATCCCAACTCCGTTCACCCGTCGTTCTTTTCAGAAGCCAATTTGTTCATGGGCTTGGACCATTTGCAGAGAAGCATCGCTAAGCAGAATGGGGGATACCTCTAGAACCATCCCATGTATCAAGTCAAATAAGCTTCCATTTGCTTAAGTCGCCTGGAATCCCTTCTAATACCAACAGAGGACAATCAATAAACCATATTCTTCAGCAAATGGTCGCACAGTTCACACCTTGTCCCGGAACACCCTGGACGGCAGGCCCAAGCCTTCCCTTCCACAGACTTCAAGAATGTTGTTCCACAAAACTTCGCCCAAGCTGCCTCCGGCGTCCTCCGGTCGGGGGGCATCACAGAAATGGCCCAGGTGGGGTCGTCGATCTTGTCCTTGGCATCTAACGACTCTGCCGAGACCTACGCGCAAATGCAATTTGTCCGGCTCCTGATATATGTTTGTTTGTGCAGGCATTGCCTTGCAAAGAGGCGCATCAATCCAAGGGGCACGCGGTTGAGCCCAAAGACCAAAACAATCGCGACAAGGGGACAAAGGGGCTCTTGTGGCCAACCCAAAGACTCTCCCTACGTTAACGGGAGGGGGGTGGGGGCCTTTTAAGAAAGCACGCAAACAAAACAAACAACCAAACAAACCAAACAAACAAACCAAACAAACACAAAGCAGGTTGTTTGAACGATAGGTGTTTACACAGCTTGGCTCAATCCTGGTTGGACGTGCCACAGAGATTGACTGTTTTTCCCAACAACACTCTTGATTTAAGCACTTTCAGGCCCACCAATTGTAAACTCAGCTGAGTGACTCTTGCCCTTTGCAAAATACGGAACCAAGCAGGGAGCCGTCCTCATGGGTGTTCGCTCAGCTTCAAAGCCAGCAAAATCATGAGCTCGCTATGCGGTGAACTCACTATAAATTTGTCCACTGGGCATACAGGGATCCTTATATTATACACCAGAACATTGCCTTGTAAATGGTGGTTTCCAACTTCATTTTGGTGTTAAAAAAGCAACATGTTTCAAATGGGCAAAATGTATCTTTTAAGGAGCCCTGGCATACTTTACATGGATATACAGTAGTAGGTGCTTATGTCCATCAGGTTTGAGGGTATCGCTCCAAACGTGAATTCATAGTCGCATCACCACATAGAGGTCACCATCAACATCTGGGAGAAAGGCCTGCCGGAAACAAATGAAAGAACTATTTACTCGCATTACCCGGGCTTGGATTCCGGCGGTGGTGACAAGGGCAACGTTTTCGCAGTGGGAAGCTCTTTCCCCGAGGACGCTGCCGGCGCCCGGGACGTGGCAACGTGCCACTTGGCCATGGGTCAAAATCCCGTACCCCCAGTCAGTGAACATCCCAATCCCCACTGAAGTCAAAATCCCGTACCCCCAGTGAACATCCCAATCCCCATTAGAGTCAAAATCCCGTACCCCCAGTGAACATCCCAATCCCCAGTCAAAATCCCGTACCCCCAGTGAACATCCCAATCCCCACTAGAGTCAAATCCCGTACTCCCAATCCCCAGTCAAAATCCCGTACCCCCAGTGAACATCCCAATCCCCACTAAAGTCAAAATTCCTTACCCGTACCCCCAGTGAACATCCCAATCCCCACTAAAGTCAAAATCCCGTACCCCAGTGAACATCCCAATCCCCACTAAACTCAAAATCCCGTACTCCCAGTGAACATCCCAATCCCCATTAGAGTCAAAATCCCGTACCCCGAGTGAACATCCCAATCCCCACTAAAGTCAAAATCCCGTACCCCCCAGTGAACATCCCAATCCCCATTAGAGTCAAAATCCCGTACCCCCAGTGGACATCCCAATCCCCATTAGAGTCAAAATCCCGTACCCCCAGTGAAAATCTCAATCCCACTCAAGTCAAAATCCCGTACCCTCAGTGAAATTGGAGTCAAAATCCCGTACCCCCAGTGAACATCCCAATCCCCACTAAAGTCAAAATCCCGTACCCCCAGTGAACATCCCAATCCCCACTAAAGTCAAAATCCCGTACCCCCAGTGAACATCCCAATCCCCACTAAAGTCAAAATCCCGTACCCCCAGTGAACATCCCAATCCCCACTAAAGTCAAAATCCCGTACCCCCAGTGAACATCCCAATCCCCACTAAAGTCAAAATCCCGTACCCCCAGTGAACATCCCAATCCCCACTAAAGTCAAAATCCCGTACCCCCAGTGAACATCCCAATCCCCACTAAAGTCAAAATCCCGTACCCCCAGTGAACATCCCAATCCCCACTAAAGTCAAAATCCCGTACCCCCAGTGAACATCCCAATCCCCACTAAAGTCAAAATCCCCTACCCCCAGTGAACATCCCAATCCAACCACTAAAATAGGCTCTAAAATGGGTGGTGACTTCACCTACCCACCCAAAATGGGATCCCAAAACCCAGGAAGCTCTTGGTGAACCTCAAAATAGGTGGTACATGGGTGCTCCTCCGCCCCATGGGATCCCAAAACGGTTTTGACCACCACAGCCACCGTCGCACGCCGAGGCGCGCTATAGACCGCCCGCAGCAGCGCCTCCCTTTCCTCCTCCGTGGCTGGCAGCAGCGCCTGCGCCGTCAGGCGAAATTCGCTGACCTCCAAAAAGCCGTCGTTGAGTCTTCCATGATCCGAGCCTTTTCTTCACAATGCTCTCGAAAGCTCCAAATGGGCCCATCGAAAAGGCGCAAGATGCCATACTTTTGAGGGAAACATGTTGGGACTCCTGAAGAGGGATCCTTACATAATCCTGAACATTGCCTTGTAAATGGTGGTTTCCAACTTCATTTTGGTGTTGAAAAAGCAACATGTTTCAAATGGGCAAAATGCATCTTTTAAGGAGCCCTGTCCAACTCAGGACCCTTTTGGATTCCGTGTGAATTTGCAGGAGAGTAGGGGGTGTTTCCGTTTCCCTACAGCATTGGGTTCGGCATCGATGGGTGATTCGGTGATTCGGTCCCTCAGATCCCCCGCGAAAAGTGACTAACTTTTAGCGGGTTAAATACGGAAAACTGCCACTAAACACTAAGAAGCTAAAAGGCCAAGGGGGGTGGCTGGGGCGAAAGTTTACCCTTTATAAACGCTAGGTCCTCCAGTAGAGAGGTTGGAATAGGGGTACCCAACTTTTTTCTGGCGTCTATTTTATTGGGGGAACCCTCCCAAAAAAGAGTGGTTAGAAAGGGCACTGCTGGGAAACCTACAGTAGTTAGTAAACCCCGGGCCGAATGGGGAATGGAATCATCACTTTTGAAACACCCCCCCCTGCTAATGAACTGGGGTTGATTACTATGGGGTCAACTCTGCAGCGGGTAGTACCTGAGTTGTCTATTCACCAACCTGAAAACTCGTATTCCGGCAATGCCATTGACTAGCAAAGCGGGAGAGGGATGCCATTTTGGGCCCGGCCCAGCAAGACGCCATGTGCAAGCACAACTTGCATATGTCTGCCAAAGTCTATAAACAATATATATATATATATATGTATACACATACATATAATTAGAGGGTTGTCCAATATGTTTTGTTCCAAAAACATCCTTCCGTCCCTTCCACGGACCGTCCGTGAACCTCCGCGACGCAGGAAAAACTACACTTTGTGGTCTGCGTCTAATCATACGTGTGTTGCTGTAAGGAAAAAGAAGAGTTGGACTCGGATGTTTTTGTACAAACAAGAGCAGGCATGAAGAGATAGAATAGGAGTGGAACAACAATGGGAAGAAGAGCAGGCAGCAAAAGAAGCAGAAAGAGCAAGAGGAGGGAGAAAGATAAGCAGAGGCAAGAAGCGGAGCAGCGGGAAACCGGAGAAAGAGACGGAGGCAGGAAAGCGGCAACAAACGCGGCCACGCGCCACAATGAAATGGACCAGCCCCCACGCAAGGTGGCAGGTGCAACTCCAGAACTTTCGTTTGGGCATCGCTTTGGGTCTCGTTTGGAGCGCTGCACGGCCGCTACAACTGTGCCCCCGCACGCGAGTAAGAAGCATGTGCCGTGGAAACGAAGCTTGGGGAAGGGGAACGCAGGCCGCCAATGCGCGAGGTGCACTTTGGCAGCTCCAGGGGGACAAGTGGCCCACGGCACTGGGAGGTATCGTTGCGGACTCGTGGTATCGTTCAGCTCAGTACCAGAGCCGTGCAGTGCCCTTTGGCAACTCAGCTTGAACATCGCAACCGTTAAGTACCAATGTAGTACGCAAGCGGACCCAGCTCAAGCATTACATCTTCTTACACATGGGATACACAGGGCTCCAACAGCGCCGTAACACCACAATGCCTTTGTCAGTCCTTACAAAAAGAAAAGTTCATGGGGCTTTGCTGGATCCCCTCGTCTATAATACTATATATACACGTTTTGAGCGGTGGTGTGGCGTAATGCAAAGCCGGACGGCATAAGACCTAGCCGGTTCGGGTACCACCAGAACTGCTCAAACCGTCCAGTGGACACAACAAGTCCGGCTATACACATTGGCGTTCATACAACATATACGCAGTATCTACGCAATCACAAAACAGACAGAGACACCAACTGCCTTCTCTAAAGCGGCTGTCCAGAACCGTTTGTCGGGCGCTGGACGGTCCATTCGAACAAACCGGAGGCGCCCATTGGGTATCTGCAAAAAGGACACCTGAGCAAACCCGGTGAGAGATCAACCATCAACGCTCGTTCGAAACTTTTCCACCCAAGATGCACCCATGCAAGAGAGAGTCCGGCCGAAGCACAAGGTTTGGGTTGAGACCACTCTCTCAAAGCCCTTAGGGCGCAGTGAATGTAGACTGCCTTCCTCCTCTTTTGCCCCCAACCCCAAAAGTTTGAAACTGCTTCACACGTAGAGAGAACATATGGCTACGTGTCAAAATCGGGGGAGCCCGCATATGGCTTGCCTTTGGGTTTCCTGCAAGCCAATCAAGGTGAAAGCGGTACGCTCAACACACACAATGCAAAAACAAGACCTCGAAACCATGCAAAACTGGGCTGCCCTCAGAAGTCAGTAGAATACCGAAACTACCGCTAAAAAAGCGAAGGAACCGGATCTAGGTCCTCCAGTAGAGAGGTTAGAATATGGGTACCAACTTCTTTCTGTAGTCTATGTAGGGGAACCCTCCCAACCAAAAAAAGAAACGGTCAAAGGGCACCTAGCTGGGGGACCTAGTATTGGGTTCGGCATCCACCACCATCGCCTAAGCGGAGGAACGAACCGCCATGGCCCTTCGGGCCTCCAGGAAGCGGCGCGAGTCCTGCGACACCTGGCCAGGCGGGCGGAAAATGCTGAAGCTGACCCCGGAAGAAACCCACCCCCGGTTTATGAACATGGGGGGTGAGGGCCCCAAAAGTCTGACTCACCAAAACCGGACACACCCCCACATGGCTGCTGGTGTCATGTACATACAGGGGACTAGTAGCCCGCTCCAAAGTGACGCAGGGGACACCCCCACATTAGTAAACCGGGGTTTAGTACACTGGGGGCATTGCGCTTTCAGGCCGGGCGTGCAGGGAATCCCCAAAAAGGTGGTTTGGATTGCTTCCATTTGGTTTTTGGCCCAAAGGACAAATAAAAATCGAGAAAAAAAAAGAAGAAACTTGAGGAGCGGGTGAACGAAAGCTAGCAGTTGTTGCATGAGATGGGTCGGTGACAGAGTGGATTCATAGGTAGCTTGTGTACAACGAGAGGCCCGGCAAGAGTCGTAGGATGCGACACGCAAACGCACATGGTGGCGTGGCAAACCTTGAAAACTGAAAACAACGAGAGGCGTCAGAAGCTGTCTTAAAGTACCTCTGGGTTCTGCATGCAGCGTGTGCAAAGATTCTTGCGAGGTGGTTTACCGAGAAGACTGAGGTCTCAAATGCACAAGCTGAATCGGTGGAACATGTAAAAGTTCGTAGCACCAAGTCCAAAACGGGCAAACCGAGACTGCTGAACACTGAGCCACTGCCCGGGGGGGGGGGATGGACCAGGGAGGAATCGAGCCTGAGACCCGGGGGGGGGGGAGGGGGGGGGGGGTCTAAATAATTGATGTTTTTCAATCTTTTCGGCTCAAATAATTGAAAAAATCAATCTTTCGGCATTTGAGCCCCTTACCTTGCTTACGCAAGGAGAAACTTCAGCTAGCTAAAGCTAGCTTTCGTGACAAAAAGTCCAGGAGTGATGAATTCCTGTTAAGACCAGCAAGGGAAAAACAAACAAAAAAAAACGAAAAATCATATTCTTAAGCAACTGGATCGGTGGGGGTTTTGGGGGATTTGTTCACCGTAGCCCTGGTTCTTGGGACCCCCAACCTCCAAACCACCGAGCTCCGGTCAATCGGAGTCCTAGGCTTCAGGAAAAGGTCATAGGTGTTCCTTCTGGAGGAAAATCCAATGGGCTTCCCGAAACAAATGGTTTCTGGGCTGTCCGTTTTCGGACCCGCTAAAAGTTTTTTCACCTGGGCTAAATACGGAAATCCCCGCTCTAAACCGACTAGAAGGCTTTTAAAAGCTAAGGAACCGGATGGCCGGTTGAACCACCCAGGTTTCTAAAAAAAACCCACTCCGGAGCCAGCGGAACCCCTCGATTTTCCCCCCCACCACCCGGACGAAGTCCGCTCGCTCCGCTCGCTCGCCCACCTTCAGCGCCCTCCACTTGGCCCGCGCGGCCTGCCTGACATCCACGAGAGGAGGGAGGTCCGGCGGAGTGAGTGAGCATCAGTTCGCATACATAGGTGGCCTTTTGGAAGAATAGATGGCTCAGGGGAGGACCTTCCGGGAGTGAATGAACCTACGGATTCCCCTGCAGGAAACCATACTGTGGATGGACCATACTTATCCTGCACCAGATTGAAACCATGGTTGAAGCCATTGTTTGTTGGGATTTACACGGGAATCATATCCTTTCAGGGTTTCTTAGGTGGTGCAGGAGTTCGTCCATCCACAGTAGCTGGCCTTTTGGAAGAATCGATGGCCCTGGGAAATGGAAGAAACCGCATCTGAACCAGTGGAACCCATCGATTTCTAATCAAACCAACCGATCAAAAGGACACCTATGATTCGCATACTGAACCCTTTTCCCCGGACATTGGTGGGGCGCAAGAAGGGGGTCCATGTGGATACTCACTTTAAAACAAGCGAAGTCATACGGCAGCATGAGGCCAAATCAGGCCAAATGGCCCTTGTGGGGCGGGGGGGGGGTGTTGCTCAGCAGCCGTGGCAGTTGACTTTCAGCCTCCAGAAACAGGGGAATTCCGCTTGTATGCTTGTCAACAACGTTGCCGGAAAGAGCATCGGGCCGCACAATGCTGCGGACCCTCAATTCAAGTACCCGTACAATGGTTGCCATCTTAGCCCATTAGCTCTGCAGCAGCTTCCCGTTTCTGTGCACTTCTATGACTTGAGGAGCAGGTGAACGAAAGCTAGCAGTTGTTGCATGAGATGGGTTGGTGACAGAGTGGATTCATGGGTAGCTTGTGTACAACGAGAGGCCCGGCAAGAGTCGTAGGATGCGACACGCAAACGCACATGGTGGCGTGGCAAACCTTGAAAAATGAAAACAACGAGAGGCGTCAGAAGCTGTCTTAAAGCACCTCTGAGTTCTGCATGCTGCGTGTGCAAAGATTCTTGCGAGGTGGTTTACTGAGAAGACTGAGGTCTCAAATGAACAAGCTGAATCGGTGGAACATGTAAAAGTTCGTAGCACCAAGTCCAAAACGGGCAAACCGAGACTGCTGAACACTGAGCCACTGCCCGGGGGGATGGACCAGGGAGGAATCGAGCCTGAGACCGGGGGGGGGGAGGGGGGGGGGGGGTCTAAATAATTGATGTTTTTCAATCTTTTCGGCTCAAATAATTGAAAAAATCAATCTTTCGGCATTTGAGCCCCTTACCTTGCTTACGCAAGGAGAAACTTCAGCTAGCTAAAGCTAGCTTTCGTGACAAGGAGGATGAGGGAAATAGGGAGAGACAAAGTGTGTGAGAGAGCGAGAAAACAGTACATAATGATATAGCAAGGAACTACATGAAACTACAAAAATGAAAGAAACACAATAAGACAGAGGACGATAAACAAAGGCCTAGAAAAAAGGCAGAGAAACACAAACGGAAAGCTGTATGTAAAGATAAATACACTGAGAAAACTGAACAAACACAATAGAAAAGAAAGAAGCAAATATGAAGGAAGAACTAAGCAAGAGCAAAAAAAACAAAGAGGAAGAGCAATACTTAGAGCAATAGGACTAACAAGAACAGACATAAGAAAGACAGAAAGATACTAAAAATACGTAAACACATAAATGACTATAATGAATAAATATACGAGTAACTAAAGACAGGACATAAAGAAACAACTCAAGAAATACAGAAATAAACAAAGAGAGAAAGAAAGAAACAAGGAAAATAGGAAGAAATGAATGCACAAAGAAATAAAGGAAGACATGAAGGAAATAAATCAAAGAAAGACACAACACACAAGAAAAGGACAGATAGAACACTAACTACAAATAAGCCAGTAATATCCAAATATGTGAATAATTGAACAATTAAATACATAAATAACAAAGAAGAAAAGAACTAGTAAAGAAGGAAATACTGCAAAACACAAATCAACAAGAAAGACTGGCAAGAAGGGAATAAGGAAGATAATAAGGAAGGGAAAAAGGAAGGCAGGCAGGCAGGCAGGCAGGCAGGCAGGCAGGCAGGAAGGAAGGAAGGAAGGAAGGAAGGAAGGAAGGAAGGCAGGGAGGCAGGAAGGAAGGAAGGAAGGAAGGAAGGAAGGAGCACTGGCAATAAAGCAAGAAATCATCACTACATAATGCAACAACAGATAAACCAAGAAACCAGACAGAAACAAAGCACAACAGGAAGAGCAAGTGAACTATCCCACAGCAAATCAGCAGAAAGCTGCTCCGTTAGTTCCCGCTCAGCAACAGCCTTGCCAAACTGACAAGTCCTGAGAGGCTCTACCGCTTCAATGTCTTGATACACGTCCTCGTGGGTTAAAGCGTACCTTCAGGTACAAATACGGCCAAAACGTATGTGTTGCCCGCGACCGCCCGGAAGCGGGTCCCCGAGACCTCCAAAAAGCATGGCAGACGCAGCAAAAACGCACTTCCGAGCCCCCCGGGCCCCACCCCAGCTTCATGCTCCATACCCCCTTCATGGAGCGCGGCGACTTTTCCTGGTTATATACTGCTATCATCAACACAACCCTAAATCTAAACCAGAGAAGCCAGCCTCGGATGCACCGGACAGACAGCTCCAAGCAAACCTAAACCCGAGAAACCCTACACCTAAACCCTAAAAACCCTAAACCCAAACCCTAAAAACCCTCAGCCTTAACCCGAACAACCCCAAACCTAAGCCCTAACAACCCTAAACCTAAACCAAAAACATAAACCTAAAACCCTAAAAATATTAAACCTAAACCCCAAAAACCCTAAACCTAAACCCCAAGAACCCTAAACCTGCCAACACAATCATACAGCATAATAAGACCTTGTGGGCGACACGTATGTTTTGTGGGTACAACTACAACGTGAACCTGGTTGCAAATTACATCAAATATGTCTCAAACCAAGCAATGGTGCTCGTGAATAAACCTCAGGAAAAGCTGAGGCGGTGATCTGAAATGGATCAACGGTGGGAAAAGGCCGTAGCTGCGGAAAGGATCACTCCTGCATGCTGGGTCCATGATCAGCGGTGAACCCGCAGATCGCAAAAGCTCATTTTGACACCCTCCACCAAACGACATTACACTATAAGAGCTCCGATGGTATCCAGCGGATTTTCATGAAAACAAACGGTAAGAGTTGTTTTGTTGTTTGTCGATTTCGTCTTTTTGCTCCGGTAGTCGACCTTGAACCTTGTTCCAAACAGATGAACAAAGCAAGCAACTCACTGGAGATGTAAATATGGTAAAACTTAGGTGCTTCCCCAAGAGAACGTGAGAAAAAATGGTGCGTACCGTCTTTTGGTTGACCGAACCTTTCCAAAATGATCGGACCGTCCTTCACAGCTCCATGTCTCCTTGGAACTTGGATCTTCGGGGTTTCCATGTGTGCTTCACCGAAGCTCATGTGGCTCCCATCGTTCCCGAATGACCCCGGATCTAAGTAGACCCAGTCCTGTTGGGCATATATTCCCCTGAAGTGATCCAAAGCCCAAAGCGGGCACCTTATTCAAGGTCCTCCAGTAGAGAGGTTAGAATAAGGGTACCAATTTGTTTCTGTCGTCTATTTAGGGGAACCCTCTCCCCAAAAAAGAAACGAGTGAGAAGGGGCACCAATTGCTGGGGGACCTAGTATTGTTAGCCAGAGATCCCTTTCAAAGCGGCCCTCCCATTTCAGCTACGGCGCGCACGAGTGGCCCAGAAGTGCATCCGCGTCGCCTGGGGTTCTCAGAGTTCCCACGGGTCGAAGGGGGACACCATGGGTGGTGTCCTTGGGGTTTGGGTCTAAAAAGGATGCCCTCAACGAGACGCGCACACACACACACACACCCACACACACACACACACACACACACACACACACACACACACGCACGCACGCACGCACGCACGCACGCACGCACGCACGCACGCACGCACGCACGCACGCACGCACGCACGCACGCACGCACGCACGCACGCACGCACGCACGCACGCACGCACGCACGCACGCACGCACGCACGCACGCACGCACGCACGCACGCACGCACGCACGCACGCACGCACGCACGCACGCACGCACGCACGCACGCACGCACGCACGCACGCACGCACGCACGCACGCACGCACGCACGCACGCACGCACGCACGCACGCACGCACACCAGAGCACAGCACAGCACAGCACAGCACAGCACAGCACACGCAAACTGACACACACACACACACACACACGCTTAGCACACACACACACCACACACACACATGGCACGAAAACGAGATTGACTGAACCTCAAGTCCAAAATGATCGGACCCTCCGTGGCAGTTCCATGCTTGCTTTCGGGATCGGCGTGTATCCATGTTTGCGCGACATGATCAGGGACGCCGCAGCCCATGTTGGCCTCAAATGACTAAAGCGCCACTAGAGACAGTCTCGAATAAAGAGTTTCTCACACAATGGCTGGCAAGCAAGCTAGGTGAAGCAGACTATTGCATGGATGTATCGGCTTTCAGTATGCAACTAAACATCAGGCTTGCCTGTGGAATACTGATGCACCCCCGGAGTTAAATAAGTCCCACAGGTTAGCTCAAGAACATGCGGAAGGCAGCACGGCAGCACGTGAGCACGTGCAAATTTGACCTGACAGGGTGCTCCCCCAAAAACTTATTGGGCAATTCGAGCAGTTGCCCAAGGAAAGCAGACAGCAACCGAAAGAGCCAACACCATGCACCATCGAGGATGCGTATGCATAACTTCCCGCAAACATGTGACCTACCGTGCTGGCCCACTATAACTCTGGACAGGTTGCACTTATCACGCGCTTGAGTGTTTTACTTGTCACTTCTTTGTTGGATTTTGTCCATTCTGAATCCCTCCCAAAAAAAAAGCCGAAAGGTGGCACTTTGCACGTTTTTCCCCCTGTTTTGGTTGGTCCCACCAAGAAAGGAGGGACGTGACGGTGATTGAAGAACCGGGATGACTGGCCCTGCGATGACTCGGAAACCTTCCGATCCCATCGAAGCCACGTGCACGTCGTATCCTCAGCGCTCGGAGCTTCGGGAAAGCCGCGAGGTGCAAACTCCAAGCCCTTACAACCAACAGGGAAACATAAAAATAGGCCAAATAAAATGAGGAATCTTCGGGCGAGAGGGGAACCGACATGAACCAACCACTCGAAATCTCGGCTCTCCCTCCCTACTCGAACTCTGCAATCAACCATTGTTTAGTGGAGAAGCATGGCACGTTCCACCTCACTTGCCCAAAGGACCTGGATATAAAAATGGTGATCTTTATTGCGGCCAAAAGGTCGATTCGCTTTGGACAACTTGACGGGGCACCAGTTTTGGCACGTTGTAGGGGTTGATTCCTTGTCCGTTCTGTTCAACCATCGCTCTTTTCAAAAACCGATCGCCATTTTCCCTGGGTTTCTGGAGGTTTTCTAGAAAGAAGGATTCCGGGAAAGAATGGGGAAGGTAGCCCTAGAACTGTCATACTTGACCCTTTTTTGATCCTGGCGCAGGGATGCCAAACAAAAAGGTAAAGTGGATTGCTTTTGACAATCCAAAAACATACTGTGAATAGGGCAGGGCCCAGAATCACACGGACACGTGTACAGTGGTGAATCAGATTCAGTCTTGACATGCTCCATCAAACGGATCCGGATTCTTGCTTGAATTCATCCTATCAAGGGTGATTAATATTGCTTCCTCTGAAGAGGAGTAAGAAACAGTGTTGACACACCGCCTTCTTTTGTCAAATCATCTTGCAGCAATGTCGGTTGCCAAACGCATGGACAAGCTATTTCTGCCTCCTTTGGGATGCCCCTACCATGCTTTGCTGCGAACCAGTCAGGGGAGGATTTTAACTCACGGAGTCATCATGTATGTATGCTCTGTGTTGTCGTTTCCTGTCTGTTTCCCTTAAAGCCACCCAAAAAAAGGAACCCTGGAAAAACAACTCATCATCGTCGGGATCATCATCCATTCCATCACCCCTCCCTTGTGCTGCCGTATTACCATTCGCTTCCTCCTGTGCTCGCCTGGCATCCCCGGACACGTTGGGTTCATGATCGTCATCATCATCGTCTAAGTTGACGTTGACGTAGAATCTTCCGGTGGAAATCAATTGCGCTTCGCATTCCAGGCATATACAGAAGCATGTAGGAATCGTAGCCGCACAAGATGGACAAATCCGGCATCTCAAGGGGAAATCTGCCTGAGGAGCCCTGGCGGAATTCGCACACACAACTGGCAAGCCACACACGGCCACAAAATCACGTGCTCACGGGACCCAAAGAAGAACAACAGTTCCACGGGACCCAAAGAAGAACAACAGTTCCACGGCGGCGAGGAGCGCCACTCTGCAAAATCAACACCCATTTCATCGTCTTCCACTTCCGGCACCAGAATGCATCCCAAGAGCCACTGTCAGAAGATTCCTGCCTGCACTGCTCTAGCCCTGCGTGTCCAACAATGGCAGCTTCTCTTGAAAAGTCTAAGCCCCGGTTGGTGAGCCAACGCAAATAGGACCAAGTTTGAGACGGCAAAAAGCCACACCGTTTTGGAAACAAGGAAAGCGAACACATGCTAGCTGCATCTGCTTCACATAGCTTTCGAACGCCAACAAGTGCATGTGATGAAACCATCCATGCAAACAACATCTGTATTCGAAAGGGCCACATGAGCATTTGAAAACTCATGTCTTGACGCACGAAGTCGGAAGGCACTTCCTCGAGATGCACATACATTTTCCCTGAGAGGCTAAAACCATGGTTCTAAGGGGACTAACCCCGACAAAACCCCCAAACAACATACTGGAACCGTACTTTGCTGGTTGAACATCCAAGTGGTGGGAACCCAGTTGATAGAGGTGGTTCTTCAGTAGTGACGTGCTCTGTTAAGGGGTGGATTGGTATGCCCCATTCCAGAGGGACCCGGATCACCGAAAGAACACCCTCTAACCCACCATATTGATCGATTCATTCTGGGTCGACATTGGCTTTGTTGAGGGTGTGGTGTTCTCCTTTTTCGGGATATCAATTTCAGAATTGGGTGGTTCCCTTTCACCTTGACAAAGACGTGCAGAAACTGCTTACAATGTCAGTCTCAAAATAGGAACTGGATTTCGGCTTCCCTTTGGCTTCCCTTTAAAACCAACCCCAAAAAGGGAAGACATAAACATTTACTATGATTCCCAAACCGTTTTGCCTCATCGCTGAGCTGTGTATTTGTCAGGGTTGTCTCAAAGGGTAACCCAGAAACCAGGTGGTTTCCTTTTGGTTTCCCTTAAAACAACCTTACAAAAAATGGAAGCCATGGCCCAAATCGATCAAACCGCACAGCAACGATTCCCTTTAAAACCAACAAGGGAAACATGACCATTTTCTTGTAGTGATAGATTCCCTTTAGAACCAACCAGGGGAAATCGCACCATTTTCTTCTTCTCCAAAAACCTTCTCCGAAGCTCCGCTGCGTACCGCCGCCAGCGTCTCCAGCGTGTCCTCTCCCGACAGCAGCACCAGGCGCATGATCTCCTGCAAACCGCTCGCCCTTCTAAGAGTTGAGTCGCTCGGGTCCCGTGCTTCCATGTGGCTGTGGCTCAAAAAACCGGTACCAAAATGGCTTGCCCTGGTAAGTGGAAACATGGACCAAAACCTGCGTAACCCCTCCTGTTTGATTTGAGCCACACCCATGTGGGTTTTCTCCGCACCCTGGGAAAAAACAAGAACATGTTCCAATAGTGGCAATAGGTTCCCTTTAAAACCAACAAGGGACAATTGAGCCAACAAGGGGAAAACACATATATTCTTACAAGCATATTCCAATAGCAGTGATAGCTTCACTTTAAAACCAACCGGGAAAAACACAACACATATTATTATATGCATATTCCAATAGTAGTGATAGCTTCCCTGTAAACCAACAAGGGAAAATAGTACATATATTCTTATAGGCATATTCCAATAGTAGTGATTGATGCCCTTTAGAACCAACAGAGAAAGAAAAAAACACATATATTCTTATAAGCATATTCCAATAGTAGTGATAGCTTCTCTTTAAAACCAATAAGGGACAATCGTACATATATTCTTATAGGCATATTCCAATAGTAGTGATAGATTCCCTTTAGAACCAACAGAGAACAAAAAACACATATATTATTATAAACACATTCCAATAGTAGTGATAGCTTCTCTTTAAAACCAACAAGGGACAATAGTACATATATTCTTAACTTATAGGCATATTCCAATATTAGTGATAGATTCCCTCTAAAACTAACAAGGGGAAATAGCACATATATTCTTCTAAGCATATTGCAATAGTAGTGACAGATGACCCATGGGGCTCAAACGCCTTCAGATATGGCGTGTCTTTTGGTTTGAGTTGGTACCTCCATGTGGCTGGATTGAAAGGAAAACCCAACAAAAAAGACCCCTTGCCATTTTTGAGGCTCCAACAGTAAAATTGCCATACCAACATGACTCATAATTGAACAGTCGGATATCCGCACCCATTTATGGCAAGAGGAGTATCCCTTACTACGGAGCATAAGACAGAAAACCGGGATACCGGGACTATTATGAAGGTTAAGATGATTTTTCCGATTATCAGTATTATTATTTTTTAGTAGTAGTAGTAGCAGTAGCAGTAGTAGTAGTAGTAGTAGTAGTAGTAGTAGTAGTAGTAGTAGTAGTAGTAGTATTCTTGTTGTTGCTGTTTACCCTCTTTCCAACAATCATGGAAGTGCACAAAGGGGTTCCCCAAAAGGAAAATAGTCTTCCAAAGCTCTCCTGTCAACTTCCATGATTGTTGGAGGGAGGGTACTTCTCAATTCGGGGGGGAGGGTTTGCTTTCCCCTTTTACAAACACAAAAAAAGGGGGACCGAGCCTCAACAAAAAGGTAGGGCCCCAATCAGTTTCCGGGTTCGCGATTCTGGGCTAGCCGTTCTCTGATCCTCTGCTAAAAGCTTAAACATCGTTAAAGGGAAACAACCACAACACCTGAACCAGCTAAAAACCTGAGCACATTGAGATGCCCCCAACAAGAAGGCAAGGAACATACCTTGGTCCTCCAGTAGAGAGGTTACACTAAGGGTGCCCTTTTTTTCTGTAGTCTATTTTAGCAGGGGAACCCTCCCAAAAAAAAAGGGGGTAAAAGGGCACTAATTACTGGGGGACCTAGGTGAGTCTAAAATTCTGAGGTCCCAAGTGGTGCATCTTAGCTCTGGCAGGGATTGGCGTGTTTCTGCTGCTCAGGCATGCAGAATTCAAGCCCATAGCAGGAATATGCAGGACTTCTTGGTTGCCGTTGCCCCCTCTGCAAAAAGTCTATATAACTCCTTGTGGGTTCAATGGAAAACCCTTGATTGCCAAACAAAGTAAAGTCTAAAGATCCGACCCAATAGCAAACGCCCATTTGCTTAAGTCCCCTTTAAACAACGAAAATGACAATATGTCCAGTAGTGATAGATTCCCTTTAACACCAGCTCTCAAAGCATATGATGGGTATGTAGGGCTTGTGTTCCCTTGGGCCCCAAAATGACCTGGCCAACAACTTGTCCCGTTTAGCGCGAACATCGTCTTTTTTGGTGTCAAGACCATGTGTCAACCTCCATGTGTCAAGACCTGGGACCCCTTGTTTGCCTCAAAATGAACCCAACCTGAACCATTAGAAGGGATCCAACTGGCCTTGCCTTGACATAGAGTTCAAGCCGCAATCCTCCTCAGAAATCATAGGCTTCTTTCCGGGACTCACTCGCGACGAAGATTCGGACAACAGCTGAGCAAAGACTTTCTGGCAGCGTGTCAGATCCTTGGACGCTCGGGATCTAACATGAAATTGACCGATCTGGGCAAACCATAATTGACAACTGGAAATCAGTTGAATCCGCAAGTACAGCACCTTCACAGGCTTCGCTCGTTTTGCCCGGGTGTAAGTTTTCCGCTGGAACCTAGAGCCAAGTGGGGCTCAGCGAAGCGCCCAAAACTTGGGTGAGGTTGGGAAAACTGGGTCCCCAGCGAAAGTTGGCCAACCTCCGGTTCTGACGCGAAAACCTTCGCTCGCGCATGGTCCAAGCCTAGGGCTCTGGCGGCTAATGGCGCCCTATGGCATACACATTTGGCAGTGGCTCGAATAAATGGAGCCCAACATGGGGCCTTGGGAAATGGAACCAAGGACTAAACGCTGCGGTTTGCCCTAGCCCTAGAAAATTTGAGCCACACCCAGTTGGGCATGAGGCATGGGGTCGTGGATTTTTAATTTCACAGACCTGAAACAAGAAATCGCTCGCAACCCAAGACCCTCGCTGGTCAAGAGTTCAGATCTAGACTCTAGACTGACTTGGAGCCAAGGAGAGCCACTGCTGACTCGTGACCAACATGGGCCATGTTCCCATTTTCCAGGCCCTTGGTAGGAAGAGGAACATTGGTATGATTCACCTCCTCCCAAAACCCATTTCTCTTGGTTCTACCAAGATGCTTAAAGCTTGGAACAGCCCTTACCTAGGTTCTCCATTAGAGAGGCTAAAATAAGGGTACCTTTTTTTGCAGTCTATTTTAGTACGGGAACCCTCCCCGAAAAAAGGTGTGTAAAAGGGCACTTAGCTGGGGGACCTAGACCATAACCTTCACGCAACCAGGCGGAATCTGCTAACATACTCAAGTGGCCCTGCTGGGGGGGGGGGGGGGGAGGGGCGCTGGTCACCACAGCATTCCCTGGGCACCAATACCCCACGTGAAGCCGATTAGACATCTGGAGATGTTTCCGGAAAGTGGGTGGGCCGCAAGAAAAGGGAATCCCTAAGGAGAGGTGGAAGAAGGGGGGGTTCCCTAAAATTCTGTAAGGAAACCTAAGGAACCTAGGGATCTCAACTACCCGCCCCCCTTGAACCCACCCCTCAGAAATTCCACAAACATTTGGGGGTCCATGTGCTAGCTGATCGTTCCTCACCTTCCATTTGCATAAGCCCCCCTGAAACAATCCAAACAACATCCAGCGGTGATAAATTCCCTTAAACCGACAAGGGAAATAATAACTATTCTTAAGAGAGTGGAAGAATCTTCGGGCGAGTTCAGGGAAAGTCGCCGAAACAAGGTGGATTGCTGTTGACAATCTGAAATCATAAACAACTCCTTAACTAGGTCCTCCAGTAGAGAGGTTAGAATAAGGATAAAAATTGTCTGTAGTCTATCTTAGTAGGGGAACCCTCCAAACCAAAAAAGTTGGGCGAGAAAGGGCACCTAGCTGGGGGACCTATTTTTAAGCAAATCGGAAGTCACTTCCAGTAGTGAGATCGATTCCATTTAAAACTAGAACAGGGAAAAAAGAAACATTTCAGAAACTATCAGGGGAAACAAACAACAAAACATTTCAGAAACCAACAGGGGAAACAAAAAAACATTTCAGAAACTAACAGGGGAAACAAACAAAACACATTTCAGAAACCAACAGGGGAAACAAAAACAACATTTCAGAAACCAACAGGGGAAACAACAAAAACATTTCAGAAACTAACAGGGGAACAAAAACAACATTTCAGAAACCAACAGGGGAAACAAAAAAGCATTTCAGAAACTAACAGGGAAACAAACAAAAAACATTTCAGAAACCAACAGGGGAAACAAAAAAAACGTTTCAGAAACTAACAGGGGAAACAATATATATATATATATATATATTCATTTCAGCAAATGGAAGTTCTTCGCACATCGCCACGGTCGCCACAAATCGCTCGCTGGCTCCTCTGGGCCCATGGATTTGAGCCTCGGCCGCGCGCCGGGCTCCAGGGCCCGCAGGAAGTTTTCATCTGCCAAGGAGGCGCCTGCAACGACTCGAGAGAGAAACCATCCCTTACCCCTTAAAACTCCAAGCCCTGGGGAAGTTTTCATCTTTTACAGACAAAGTTGCCCATGTTACCCAAAAAGTTGAAAAGTTGTGTTTTTAAGAGGTAAGGAAACCATCCAAATGGGCCATGGGTCAGAACCCCGGTGCCCGGTGAACACGCAAGCCTTCTAAAAAGACATGAGTGGAGTCGTAACCATCCCCAAAAAGGCACCTTAGGTTTTCACCCACAACCAAATGGGCCATGAAATTTTAATAGGGAGCCCCCCCGGAAAGTGGTTGGTGGACATACAAACCCGCCGAACTTTGATGTCCAAAACCATCAAAATGGGCCATGGAATGGCTGTGGGTCACACATAGGTATCCAAAATGGGTTGCCCTGGCTAATGGAAAAGTAGACGAAAACCTGCAGTCCCCGGGTGGTTTAATTTTGACCCATACCCAAATCAACTGGGGGTTGCACCCTGAAAAGTGGTTGGTGGACATAAAGCCCCGCCGAATCTTGATGTCCACCAGAGGGCTGCCAATGAAAAATATATGCTCAAATGAAGTACAACCACCTGAGACCTAGATTTCACTCCTGGATTGATCAGAGGATTCCTGCAAGCATAAGCATATCGTGCCAACCAAAACTGGGCATATGGCTGATCTTCTTTTGGGCGAGGGATACCGGGATAGACGCTAGATCAAATGAGACCAAATCAAAACTCCTCCAGCAATTCCTTAATATTCCCCAAGCTCTAGAAACGATTTGGATGCGTTTTTTGTGGATTCACCCGTCCTTCCCCCTGTAGGTTCTTTTTTAGTGCTCTTTTAGTACTCTTTTAACATCCTGCAGGGGTGGATCCACAAAAAACGCATCCAAGCCGTTTCCTAGATTCAAGTATTTCCTCTGCACAAAGGGAATTCTGAAAAGCTGCAGAAGTAATGTTGACCCAGGATTAGTAAACCCGTCCCACTATTTGGGGGGGTGTTCCCTCCAAAAGTGGTCTGAATGCCCACTATTGTTTTACTAAAAGGGGACACCCCCCTATTAATCAACCAGGGGTTCTGCTTAATCCGGGGTTCACATTAGTGTGCGGATTTGATGTCGATTGCACGGACACATGAGACTAGATCAGACCAGTGGATCAGATCAAATCGTTTGACACACACACACACACACGAATCATGTGTCGGGATTTTCAGGCAAGCTATCACTTCCAACAAATATCTTTGGAGAAACCGGTGTTCCCCAGCAACGCGTGTTTCAACCATTGGCATATTAAACAAAACAACGTGGTGTTGTGTGCAAAATCCACAGTGCCGGGGACACTGCCCTCTCATGTCTCTACATGTATATATATATATATATACACAGTATCCTCCAAGTGTAGTTCACGCGGGGTGTGTGACCATATATATATATATATACACATACACAATATATTCATGCTTCCTTTAAACATGACCCACCAAGAGCCTGACAACCAAATGGATCAATCCACAGTGAGGCCCTGCAAGCGAGCGCACCCGGTCTCCGCCTTCCACCGTCGAGAGAGGCTCCTCGGCGAGAGGCGAGAGCGGCGGATCGGTTCCGGAGACCCAAGAAAGGCGGGAAACTGCGAAACTGGAAAGCAAACAAACTTGAAAGCACACCCAAACCTAGGCTGTCCTCAAATCCGCTCAAAGTGTTTTTTTTGTTTGTTTCAACTCTTAGTGGGTCATATGGAAACTTCCACGACACACTAAAAGGCTAAGAAGCTAAGGGGATGGCTGGGAGCCACCAAGACTTGAAAGCAAACAAACTTGAAAGCACACACAAACAAACAAACAAACGAGGAAAGAAAGAAACCACAAAAATACAGAAAGAAGGAAGAAAGAAATAAACAAACAAACAAAAGAAACAGACACAAAAAAAAAGCAAAGGAAAAAAACAAACCAACCAACTAACCAACCAATAAACACTCTAATCAACCACACGAACAATCGAACAATAAACACGCAAACTAACCAACTCTCTAACTGACTGACTCAGGTTCCGCTGGTGGCGGTTGATCCCCCGGGAGACTGGGTCAAACGCGCTTTTAAACGGAACGACGGAATCAGGATTAAACCCGACCGCTTGTAGTTGGTGAGCAATCCGAGCATGTGGCTGTGGGTCAAACCAATGGTACCATTTTCGGGTGGGTGCACCACCCATTTTAGTCTATTTCAGTGGGGATTGGGATGTTCATTGGGGGTACGGGATTTTGACCCATGGCCATGTGAATGCGGAGATGGAGACTTGTCTATAGGACAAGCACTGCAGGCTCTGTTTTGTAATTTCCGGCTAAAAGTGGTTCAACAAATAGTGGGTTAAATGGACACCCGACGCCCAAAGCTAAACACCTATGCAAGGAACCGCACGGCCGGGAGCCCATTGGCATCCACCAGGACAGTGGATGCAACAATTCCGACCCAAAGCTTCTCGGATGAAACCTTCAGTAGGTCCTCCAGAGACCTGAGACCTTCACCCGACTGTAGAATATAGGGATCCCACTTTATGTTTCCCGAGGGAAACCAAAAGAAAGGCATCTACACTCTGGGTACCCAGGCCTTTCGGTGAAACGTCAAGCTGGTTCATCTCTGAACATCCATAGCTTGAGCTAAGCTATGCATGTTCTCTCTCTCTCTCTTTTTCTCTCACACCAGATTTGTTACATGTCAGTCTATTTAGATCACACGCTGCAGTGGTTCGACTCCGTACTTTTCCTCAACGCCTGGCAAAATGTTCGGGGTGAGTTGCAGACACTTAGTCTTGCCAGCGACACCGGCAGGTGAGTTGCAGACACTTAGTCTTGCCAGCGACACCAACAGCGGTGTCTTACCTGCCGTCACTTTTCTCGCTTTGGTTTGTGAATGTACCTTAGAAATGTGAAAACGGCCAACATCAATGGGTGTGTCTGTTTTGGGCATCCCCAACATGGTTGTCGTCCTTTCGGCTTAAAGTTTTAAACCACCCTAAAAAGGGGTAGCAACATCCAAACAAATAATGTTCGGCCATTCACGCAATGTATTGCTTTCATCCGACTGGACCGAGCGGGTGAGACGTGAAGATGTACTCAGGAACTCGAATGGAAGCCAGCGCTGGGTCAAGCCAGCAGTCTACGGCGGCTCTGTGTGCTAAGCCCCTCGCATCAGGGGAAAGCGCCCTGAAATACCCTCTCAATTAACATAGCAACCTGACAGGGATGTCCGGGAAGACCATTCTCCTTTTAAAGGGACCATCTTCCTTTGAAAGGGACAGGTTCCTTTTAAAGGGACCATTTTCCTTTGAAAGGGCCATTTAAAGTAAAGGGGCCATTTTCCTTTCAAAGGTTCCATGTCAAAAAGGGCGAGGGTAAAGTTCTCACTGCACCATCCCAACCTTCCGAGATTGACCCGGTTTCTTCTGGCCCGTCAGCGAGGCGCCTTTTCTTTTCCCTCCACAACCGAGGCCGGGGAAAACACGCCAACCGCTCCTCTCCACCTCTTGAACCGACAAGCTGGGTCCTCCAGATTTGAGAGGTTAGAATAAGGGCGCCAACTTGTTTTTCGGCTTTGTCTATTTTTGCAGGGGAACCCCCTCTCAAACAAAGAAACGGTAAAAGGGCACTATTGGGAGACCTAGTCTAAATCTATCACTGTAATCCTGCCACTGCCGATATCTTCGCTATTCCCGATCTAAGCCGCGGAGTAAGCAGGAGTAGGCAGCTTGTGACAAAGAAGGCGAGATCGACTTTCTTTCTGCAGCAAGTTGTGTCAAGGGGCGAAGGATTGTCAGAAAATGTGCATGTGTGGTTGTGTCTTGGTCAATCTGTTGTTTTTGCCAGTGCTGCAATTTCTCGAACAGTGATAAATGGTGAGCTCGTTTTGCCGAGAAGGTGAGCGGAACCCCGCGTTCGGATCTCTCTCTCTCTCTCTGTCTGTGAACCCTCACGGAAACACCTTTGTCTTAAAATAGGGGGCCCACATTCCCTGTAAAACCTCACTCATCCAAATTGGCGAATTTCGCGCCCGCAAAAGATTTGAATTAAAGCTCACCTGGTTCACCGTGCTTATCACCTCCGGATTGACTCATCAGCTTGGAAAGCTGCCGCATCTCCAGCTGGTTTTCTTTGGTTCCCAGAGACACCCAGAGCCCAGACATAGAGCTGCCTGAGCGGCTTTCAACCCAATTTCTTCGGCCCGAAGTTTCGTCGTCGCAGCTCTCTCCCTGTTTCATCGCGGAAGCGTAGCTGCGGTCTCCATGACCGGTTGGTGACCTTGCAAGTCTGGGTGATGACCCCAGATTCATCAAGCCCTGTTTATCACGCCCCTGCAAAAGTGGGCTGAATCCCCACTAACGGGGGTCTCGGTTGCGAAATCTGCTCCCCTGCTAACAGTGAAAAACTTTTAGTGGTTTAGTACGGACAACCCACTAGTTGGCAAAAAGTTATAAAGTTAACAGCCCTTGGCAACATGCACCAAAGGGGTGACCACCCGACAACCCCCCCCTCCCTCCCCCCCTCCCGATTTGTTCTTCGGTTTCTCCGGCCCGGGTCAGGCGACTCGTAGCTCGCAGGCCGAAGAGAGCGCATGCCGAAAAAACGCGCACCGAATACAGGGCGGCGCAGTTCCGCATGTCAGATTTTGTGTCGTGGCCGTCCATTCGGAGAAAGTCCCGAGATGCCCAGCGGCCGCGGGACAAAGGGCCCTTTTCTCTTCTTTGGTTGGTTGACTAAGGCGAGATGTGTGTCGCCCCTTGGGTGCTGTGGATCCCCCCAGCAAAAAGTTCAACTTTTTGCTGGTAAAAAGGAAACATAAAGGGAATCCAAAAAGTTAAAGTCTAAAGATCCAACCCAACAGCGGTTGAGGTCCATGCCGTCCATTCAGAAGAAAATCCCAACTAAAGGCTTCATGCTGTGCAAAAAGGGACCTCAAAGAGGCACCTCGAAAAGGCTCCACGATTGGCAGCAGAGGCGCACGGTGCGGGTGCCAAGGCATCGGAGGCATCGGATAAGAAGCCTCGCGGTTGCCAACCAGCTGGCTATAATTCAGAAGGGTTTGTGCAGGGCCAATCCAGTCCACTCATCGGAGGGAAGCTGAGTTTAACTTGTTTGTTTGTTTGGTTGGTTGCCACAAACCAAACTGAGCTGCAAGCCGGCGCTGGATTTGGAGCGAAAGAACCTGCATTCGGCGAGTGTGCCGAGCGAGTGGGCGAGGTGGACACGCCGGAACGCGCTTGCGGCGCAAAGATCGTGTCAGAATGACTCACTCACAAATCAGGATGCCAACCCCTGGCAAAAACTTCCCGGAATCCCGGATCCTGCTCTGTTCGTTTTCAGATCCCCTAAAAGTGACTAACCATACTGGAAAAAAATAAGAAAGAAACCCTAAACAAACTAAAAGCCACGAAAAGCGACACTAAACGCCGCTACGAACCTTTCTGCAACCGGATGGCTGGTTTCGAAGCACAAGGCTCCTGTTGGCTTCGCGGCGAAGGTCTTGGAATACGCCCAGCGCTAGCGCAATGACAAGTTGCTAGAAGTGACCCGCCCACCCTTTTCGCATGGAACCGGACGTTCGAGAGAAGGGACCCCTTTCAAAGAAACCTGGTCCAAACCAGGACCCCCGCCCGGTCAACGTCAGGTTCCGGCTGTGAAAAGGGGAGACAGGAATCACAATTAAAACAATGGTTGGGTGAATAAAACCATTATCATGTGCATTATCTACATGGGTGAGAAAGACAAAACCAAAACCATGATTTACATCATTTATAACCCTCAAAACAATGGGAAAGCCAGGCATGTAAAACCTAGAGATAAGGGAACTCTGGTTACTTATACCATGGGGTTCAGGCAGGCCACCATTAAAACCATGGTGTTCACCTAACCACCATTGTTTACCTCAGGATTCTCGTCAAACGGTTGCTTCCTGTATTTGACCCACAAGTTCCAGAAAGGTTTTGAGCGGTTTGGTGTTTATAGTGGGCGTTTAGCTGGTTTAGTGGGGTCCCAAGGCCAATTTACTGAAAAACATTCGGAACCCCTAGGGAGGCCCGCAAAATATATAGATATATATATATATATATAATTGTGCCAACGGTTGCGATCCCCCGTTTTCTGATCCCCTAAAAGTCAGGGAACTTGTGGGTCAAATCGCGGAAACGACGACTATATAAACCAACTAAAAGCCACTATAAACGCTACAAACCGCTCAAAACCTGTCTGGAACTTGTGGGTCAAATACTTCCATTTGCTTGTTCGACCCCTGGAAAACATGTGTACATATGTCCAGTAGTGATAGATTCCTTGAAAGCCAACAGCGGAAAATCACATAAATATTCATTTCAGCAAATGGAAGAATACGGAAACAACCTAGAAAGCCTAAGTTGAACCGTTACCGGATGGCTGGGAGCCAAGACACCTTTTTGATCACTCATAGCTTTCTACCCGCAAAAAGTCTCGTTGTTTGCTGAGTGGCGCGTTGATCCCTGGCTGAACCGATTTGTTTTCAGGGATCATGCAGACCCGGACGAATAAATCGGTTCTGTTAATAGGTGG